CTGTGAGTTGGAGTCAACTCAGCAGAATTTACCAATAACAATCTGAAATATGGGATTGAAAAATTAAATCATAGAACAAACAATAATACTTCAGTGCACAAGTGAATGAAACACTGTCCAGTCCTGTGTCGTCCTTACAATTGTTACAGCTGAATCTATTATTGCAGCAGATAAATGTTAGTTTTTATATAATCTTCCATAACAGGGCTGAAAACAAAAGAAAAATGGATAGGTTTTAACTATGTAACCATTGAAAACTTCTGCATGTTAAAATAGGGAAGTTATAAAGTAACAAAGCAAATGACAGACAATATTGGCAACGTAAAGCAGACCCCAGTTTATGAATGTCTGGTTTATGTAAACCTGTAAAAATTTGAGGTACATATATATGGAGTCCTGGTGTGGCACTATGGGTTAATGTGCCAGACTGCAAAGCTGTTTGAACTACAAGGTTGGCAGTTCAAGCTCACCAGAAGCTCCTTGGAAACTCTATACAGGGTTGCTATGGGTCGGTACTGACTCGCCAGCACTTAACAACAACATAGTGGTTCAAATGGGAGCTCTGGTAGTGTAGTGGTTACGAGTCGGGCTGCTAAGCTCAAAGTCAGCAGTTCAAAACCAGCTATACCTTGGCAGAAAGATGAGGCTTTCTGCTCCCGTAAAGATTAAAGCCTGGGAAACCCTATGTAGGGTCGCTATGAGTCAGAACTGACTCTATGGCACACCACCACCACCACCACCACCACCACAATGATTCAGAATAATAAACAGGTGCTACTTTGAGATTTAAGGAGCTCTGGTAGCATAGTGGTTACGAATCGGGCTGCTAACTTCAAGGTCGGCAGTTTGAAACTACCAATGGTTCCATGGGAGAAAGATGAGGCGTTCTCCTCCCATAAAGATTTATAGCCTCGGAAACCCTGTGCAGGGTCACTATGAGTCGGAATTGTCTCCACGGTACTTAATAACAACAACTTTGCGATTTGCATAAAAATATTATTATTGTATTATTATGTTAAAGATGTTTTCATGTATCTGATAGTATTTTGTGTTTTATGCCTAGAAATATACTCTCAGTACTCATATAGTAAGGCAAACATAAGTACTTATATGCTAAGACAAACATTGGACTAACTGACATTAGATACAAACTGTATCTAAATGTTTGTTTTACATGTAAATTTGACTTAAAGATTAATCTGAAACTCATTCATTATCTAGGGCCTGCCTGTATTTAAATGTCACAGGTTTGATAACCTTAATAAAATAAGGACTTTTATAATAAGAGTTATAAGAAAAAATATACATTCTGTTTTAGTTGTGTAATGCTGCTATTACAGAAAGACCACGAGTGTGCAACTTTAACAAACACATTTTCTCACAGTTTAGAAGTCTGACTTCGAGGAGAAGGCTTTCCTTCTCCCCTGGTTCTGTGGGAAGGCCCTTGGCTCTATTCAGCTTCTCTTTCTTGGTTTCTTGAAGACCTCATGTGGCCTTGTTGTTCAGTTGTCTCATAGTGTCCTTTTATAGGGTTTCCAAGGAGCAGCTGGTGGGTTTGAACCACCAACTTTAGTTAGCAGTCCATGCTTATCCTAGAGTGCCGCACTAGAACTCCTCACATGGTCTAGCATCTAGCTTTTCTACAAGTACGCTTGCTTCCTTATGCATATCATACGCTTTTGTATTTAAGATTGATTTAATACACATTCTACAGTAATACTGTCTGTTGTTGTTAAGTGTTGTTGGGTCAGTTTCGACTCATAATTATCCCATATAGGGTTTCCGAGGAGCCGCTGGTGAGCTTGAATTGCCGGCCTTGTGGTTCAAACCAACCTTATAGTCCAGCACATTAGTCTAGTTATAATAAAGGTGACCCATTCCTGGTGTGGCGCTGTAGGCTAATGCGTCAGACTGCAAAGTCATTTGAACTGCAGGGTTGGTGGTTCAAGCTCACCAACTGCTCCTTGGAAACCCTATACAGGGTCGCTATAGGTTGGAATTGACTCACTTAATGGTGAATCTCAGAGACTTCAGTTTCAGTGTGGTTTATAGGTCAACATAAAGCAAACATCAATCTTCACAAGTGGACCAATAAGCAATATGTGATAAATGGAGAAAATATTGGAGTTGTCATTTTGCTTGGATCCATAGTCAATACCCAGGGAAGCCCCAGTCAGGAAATCAAATGATGTTGCATTGGTCCAATTTGCTGCAACAGATCTAAAAATGTTAAAAAGCAGCATTAACTTTGAGGACTAAGGTGTACCTGACCATGGTATTTTCAATCGACTCATATGTATGAAAGCTGAAAAATGAACAAGGAAGACTGATTCCTTATTTATAAGGAAGAACGGATACATCTGAATTATGGTGTTGGTCAAGAATATTGACTATACCATGGATTGCAGAAGAATCAACAAATCTGTCTTGGAAGAAGTAGAGGCAAAATGTTTCTTAGAAGCAAAGGATAGCAAGACTTCATCTCATGTTCTTTGGGCATTTTACCATGAGGGACCAGTCCCTGGAGAAGGACATGCTTGTTAAATTATGGTGGTGGTGGTGGTTATGTGCCATGGAGTTGGTTCTGACTCATAGTGACTCATAGAAACCCGTATATGGTTTCTGAGGCTATAAATCTTTACCAAAGCAGAAAGTCTCATCTTTCTCCCTTGAAACAGCTGGTAGTTTCAAACTGCTGATCTTGAGGTTAGCAGCCTGACCCATAACCAGAGTTCCTTTGTTAAGTTATAGGGTCAGCTAAAAATAGGAAGACCTTCTATGAGTTGGGTTGATGCAGTGGCAGCAGCAGTGGGCTCAAACATAGCGACAACTGTGAGAATAGTACAAGACTTGGTAATGTTTCATTCTGTTGCATACAAGGTCACTGTGCGTTTAAACTGACTCCATGGCATCTGACAACAACAGTACTCTATGGTAGAGATGTACCATGGTTTACTTAATCTTTCACCTATTGAAGGACATTTTGGCTGTTTGCAATTGGGGGCTATTGTGAATAAAAGTGCAGTGAATTCCGTGTAGATACATAAAGTCACATATTACATGAATGTAAGTGTTTTCTGGGATAAATGCACAGAAGTACAACTGCTGGGTAATATGGTAAAAGTGTGTTTATTTTTTTTTAAACTACAAACTTTTCTATAGTGACAGCATCACTTAACATTCCTATGAGTGGTGGATGAAGGTTCCAGTTTCTCTACATCCTCAACAAGACTTGTTAGTTTTGTGTTTTTAAATAACAGCCATCCTTGTGGTATGAAGTGGTATCTCATTTTGGCTTTGATTTTCATGTCCCTGTGGCACTGTGGGTTAATGCTGGACTGCAAAGTCAGTTTGAACTGCAAGGTCAGCAGCTCAAGCTCACCAGCTGCTCTTCGGAAACCCTATACAGGGTTGTTACGGGTCAGAACTGACTTGACGGCACTTAACAACAACAACAACAACAACAACATGATTAAAGACATCAATTAGTTTTTCATGTACTCATTGGCCATTTGTATATCTTCCTTGGAATAATTTTTATTCAAGTGCTTTGCCTATTTTTAAATTGGGTTGTCTTTTATTGTGTTGTTTGTTGTTGTTGTTAGGTCTCATTGAGTCAATACCGACTCATAGCAACCCTATGTACAACAGAACAAAACACTACCCAGTCCTGGGCCAACCTCATTATTGTTGCCATGCTTGAGTCCATTGATGCTGCCACTGGGCCAATCCATCTCACTGGGGGTCTTCCTCTTTTTCTCTGACCCTCCACCTTACCACACATGATATCCTTCTCCAGCGACTGTACTATGGTCCTGAGCCCCCAGGTCCAGCGACTTATTCCCTCAAAGTGTTTGGTTATGTCAAAGAAGTTTCCATAACTCTGCCCCCAGTGTGCTCCACTCCATGAAGTTTTTGAAGCCCTTTCATCTACTGTTCATGTTGAATCTATTTTTTGAGTATAGTGTTCTTAAACATTGGGCTTCATATCTTAGATTTTCCACTTTGTCTTTCAGGCCAAAGATGCCCTAGAAAACCTTGAAGTTCCAGTTGGCTGCCTCATGGTTTACAACAATGAAATTGTGGGGAAAGGAAGAAACGAAGTCAATCAAACGAAAAATGTATGTTAGTTGAAGAGAATAATTACAAACATACTGAGTGACGGTAGGCGTGGCGTGAGCTTATAGTCTGAGTAAATGGGCAGTGCTCTTTAACTTGGCTTTCTTTATGCCTTTGTTTCTGATTATATAAGTGACACTTGTTTATTTGGAAAAATTTGGAAAACTTATAAGCATGTAATGAAATCATGACTTAGCGATGATTTTCTGTTTCATATTGCTTAAGTTTAACACTTGAGTGAAATTTACAAACATCTTTTTTTTTACAAACATCTTTTTTTTTTTTTTTTCTCCCCCAGTGGGGGATTTTGTTACTTTGGAGTGTCAGTGTGGAAGAAACAAGTCTATGTCGCTTTAAGCCAATCTGATGTATGAGAATTCCACTTTATAAGACATATCAACTGCATCTGTAAAGCATTCTTTCCTATAGGATTCCTCCAAGTAAATGAAAAGATTGACCTCCTCCGTTTATAACCTTGGAGGGAAAACAGGATTGTATAAAGGAAGCTGTTTCTTTACCAGGTGACTCAGCTGAGTGGAGCTTCTGTCTCCTGCTGTCTGTGTCTCCAGGTGGTGTTGGCATTTGAGAGCCTGAGTCTTTTAATTCATTGTAGTTCGGTCGGGGAGTTCGAGGTTTAAGGCAGTGCTTCTCAGACCCAATATTACAGTAGCCATGGGAAGTGTAAGTCAAGTAGGTAGTCTCTAGGCGAATTTATAATGTCACTCCCAAGGACTTGAATCCTCTGGTGCAGTCTTGGAAGCCAGAGAACAAGTTGGTATCTATACCAGCATGCTGGGAACTTTCAAATTCTTCCGTCACATCTGTCAAAATAGAAGAGAAAACAGAGACTCAGCAAAAGTCATGCAAAGTACACCCCAAATTTGCTAGGCAGTTATTATGAGGATCTAAAATACCTTTGAGATAAATAATAAGCATAATGCAGCATTAGTGAATATATAGATACTTATTTGGGAATGGACTTATAAGTCACTTTGTCTTTTCAAGGATTGTCACATCTTCCTATTAGTATTTTAGGGTTTAGGTATGGTCCCTTTTACACAAGACATTTGAATGTCCTATCACCATTTATCTGAATCCCCCAATGACCTGGTTTTATCCTATATCCTTAAATTCATATGGATTTATTTTGGTGTTCTATGTCATGTAAGCACTTTGAGTGCTAAATATAAGGTCAGCAGTTCAAATCCACTAGCCGCTCTTTAGAAACCCTATACAGCAGGGGTGGCGAACCTTTTTTCTGCCCAAATTAATAACATCATTTGCGGGCTATACAAAGTTATTGGCTTAAAAATTAGCCTGCTGTATTTGGTCAAACATTTAATTAACTTTCGACGGGACTTAACAACAACAATGTGATGGCTGGAACTGTGGTTACTTTTTTGTTGTTGTTAAGTACTGTTGAGTCAATTCCAACCCATAGTGAGTGACCCTGTATCGGGTTTCCAAGGAGCAGCTGGTGAGCTTGAACCACCGACCTTGCAGATCAAACGACTTTGCGGTCTGATGCATTAGCCCACAATGCTGCACCAGGATCCCTGGTGTAGTTGTCTTGGCAGGGCCTTATATGGCCTGAGGGTCGGACGTTCCCCACCCCTGCTATTGCAGGTTAACTGAGTAGGAACTGACTCCATGGCATTTAACAACAACAACATGTAATATAGAAGATTGCCCTGTAAACATATAGGATAGAAAAACTTTTCACCCTAAATGAGGAGATCTGACTTCTAGGCTCCTACATACCACCACCTCTTCCAGCTGTGTGTTTTTAACCCCTCCTAACCGGAGTCCTAGTGTGGCACTGTGGGGTAATGTGTCAGACTACAAAGTCATTTGAACTGCAAGGTCGGTGGTTCAAGCTCACCAGCTGCTCCTTGGAAACCCTATACAGGGTTGCTATGGGTCGGAATCAACTCGACGGCACTTAACAACAACCCAGCCTAGCTTCTGTTTCTTAGGCAGTGAAACAGAGAGTTGACATAGATGATTCAGCTCAGCAATTATTTATTGAGATTATGAGGCAATTGATTTACAAGTTCTGAATCTGATCTTTTAAAAGCTCCCAAGTTGGGAACACATTGTTTTAAGCTCGCCAGTTGTTTCCAGTCTGTGGTCAAGTTTGGGGACCTCTTCTCTGAAGCACTGTGCGGCTCTGAACTTCTATTTCTGTGATGTGGAGCCCAGCCGATATCACTCCCAGCTGCTTCTGGCTCCCGTGGCGGCATGTCCCTGCATTGCTCTGGCGAATGAGCACCTTCCTGGTTGCCCCCACCCCCCACCATGTTTTTCTTGTTGAGGACAGAGACTTTCCATCCCACCAGAATTTTCCACAGTGCTGCCAGCATAGTTAACGCTCAGTGTAAGGTTGTTGGTAAATGCGATTGTCTCGATGATTGTAAATAATTACTGCATATAGTTACTAAGGTCTGCATTAAGTTACTCAGTTATTTTAGTTAGGGGAAAGAAAAGGGAACAGAGAGCTCCCAGAGGCCCTATCGTAGCACTGCGCAGCACAGTGCTTCACGTTCAGGTGACGGTATGAAGTGTAACTGTTGGCACTGGGTCCGTTTTGATTTAAAGCGATCCCATAGGACAGAGTAGAACTGCCTCATAAGGGTTCTAAGCTGCAGTCGTTACAAAAGCAGGCTGTAGAGGTGTGGATGCACCAGTGCCCTCCATTTGTACATGGGAAACCAAGGCTTAGAGAAGTTATGGAACTTGCCCAAAGCCACATAATCAGTAATGTTGCTGCCAGAGTTGAGATGTATGTGCAGCTGATGCCAAGTGCTGTGACGTCTCCCATACTCCCCTGCCTCCCATGAGGAGCCGGAGACTGACGCCTCTGCTCTGCTCTTCTCCGCCTGTATGCCCATCTCATCCCAAAGAAAACATAAATGATGGCATTCCAGTAAACTAAATAGACACTTGCTTAGTGTGAGTTCAGCGAGAGTCTAGAAGAACACTATTGAAATTGGAGTATACGCTTTTGAAAATTTCAGACTTCCCTTAAAATATCCAGAAACCATTGATCTGTTCTTGAGGCCTGTCTTCTCTGTGCCGTTTCCCCTAAGATGCTTGATTAACCATCCAGTATGTTGGGTGTGGTGTGTCCGATCAGGTGCTGTGTGTTGGTGCGGTTAGGGCACTTGAACAGAGGAACTCCTTGTCAACTGCTAAGAGTATCTGGAAACCTTCATTCCCTAAAACTCTGACAGAAATGATCAGCACAAAAGGTTAGGGTTTTATTGAGCTTCTCTGGGAAGCAGCAGTTACACATAGGTCAAACACCCACCCAGTGACCTCTCTCTCTCCAGGCGACTCGGCATGCAGAAATGGTGGCCATCGATCAGGTCCTAGAGTGGTGCCACCGCAGAGGCACGAGTCCCTCACAAGTGTTTGCACGCACGGCGCTCTACGTCACGGTGGAGCCCTGCATCATGTGTGCAGCTGCTCTCCGTCTGTTGAGTATCCTTGTCCCAGTGGGGTCCCGTCTCTCCTTCCCTGCAAACATGCACATGCTCACACCTGGGACCTGCTCTGAGCTTTATGAAACAAATCATAGGTGGCTCATGTTACAAAATAGTGTGTCCCCAGGGCGGGCGGGGGGAGTCAACCAATGTTTTTTGTTTTTAGATCAATCAACATATAACTATGTGGCACTGCAGGATGATGTACTGGACCGCAAGGTCTGTGTGAACCTCAGCGTCAGTGGCTCAAACCCACTGGCCGCTCTTTGGAAACCCTATGCAGGATTGCTATGAGTCTTATCTGACTCCACAGCTCTTAAAACAAATGAGTATGCTAGTAAGCTAGAGAAAGAAAGCTTAGCCCTATATTAAAACTTTGGAGCTCTGGTGTGGTGCTGTGGGTTAATGAGCCAGACTGCAAAGCCATTTGAACTGCTCCTCAGAAACCCTATACAGGGTCACTATGGGTCAGAATCAACTTGATAGCACTTAACAACAATAACAAACTAAAACTTAACCTTCCATTAAGTTCAAATTGATGGTAAAACACAATGTATAGGAAAAGAGCTGAAGAATTTCGACTAGAAATAGTGGACTACAGATTTACAAATTTTCTTTCTTATTATCTGTTTTCATTTGAAAAGTAAAACAAGCGCAGCAGAACTTGAAATAATTTACAGTATAATTACAAGTCATTGGGAAATGGATAGCGTTATACATCTCTACATTAGGTATTTGCAAAACCAGTGGTAGAGCCATGTTGGACTTCCTCTGGCTTCACAAGGGGGAAGAAGAATCTAACTGAAAATCAGCCCAAGGCCGATTCCTATGAAGTGGAGGTCAGATGCGACTCCACCGTACAACCTTCTTTACCTCATTCTGACCCCAACCAACCTCCACAGCATCTCTGTTTCACATCTGGGTTTGATAATCCATTACAGTGGGCACACAGAACTCATAACAATGTTCACAATTGTGGGGTTTCTTAGGGAAGTAGACACAGTACAATTCAGGATCAAAACCAACCCAGGACACGTCAGTTCTCAGGGCAGGAACGCCTCTTATCTGCCTTTCTGCAGACACACCTCACTCTTGTCTTCAGCCTCAGCCATGTGGCCCTGTGGCCTCTGCCCTGCTCGGGTGAGTGTTACCAAGCTCCATTAAATGACCAAAGGGTACATTCTGCAAGCCAGCTTCCAGCCTGTAGGCACTCAGCGTTACTCAGTCCATGGGCCTAGATGCCACGCTGCCGCCCCAGTTTGCCAGTTTTCTTGGTAGGGAGCTCACACTCCACTCATGTTCTTCCTTGTTGATAGTCCTGGAGGGACTGTTCCTGCTTCTGAGTTGGCTCCTTTAAACCCAGCTGGATGTCAAAACTAACCAATCCCAGCGTTAGAGTCCTGTATAAATTATTTGCATGGTCCTACCCACTCCTGAAGAACATCATCTGAAGAACAGATTTGATGAATTAAACACTAAAGACCGAAGACCAGAAGAGTTGTGGGATGACATCAAGAATATCATACATGAAGAG